AGTTTCTTTAGAAACTTACCCCTTTCTTCATAACAAGGAACACTTTGTTCACCCTTACATCAGTATGCAAGTTCTCCATACTGATCTCTCCCCATTTCCTTTGGTGCTTACAATGAGAATTTGTCTAACAATCAAGAGTTTTTTAAGTTTGTGACCATTTCCTTTATTCTCATAAGTCTAATGTTTGGTTTAGGGGTGACACTGTTGGAAGAAATTAGATGCCTATCACTCTTAGGGGTTAAAGGGTTAAATAATCAAAACAGTTAGATTCATCAAACTTGAGCAGTTATATTTATCATGACAAATTCAAAGTAGAGACCAATTGTCCTGACAGAAACAAAAGAGAAAAATGAGGACAAAAAACAGACTCACCAGTGTAACCAAACCTAGCACCTTCCTCTGCTTGTGCCTGTAAACCCTCAGGGTCTGCAAAGAAAAGCAAAAGAAAGACTATTTTCAAATGCTGTCACTTTTGTTCAAACAGTTGCTTTACATGTTCCCTCTCAAAAGCCTTTAGTTAGTGAGTGAATAACCATTGATATGGTCTCCAAACTTGAACAGCTATAAACATATTAAGAACATTGTTCTTATAAGCCTACCCTTGATAGACCCCTCTCTACAGTTTAAAGTTCCTCATAGGTGTCCTCTTTTTAACAACCCCTTTTTTCCCTCCTCTCAATCAACTTTCTGAAACAATGCCCCTGAGGGCCTTATTAAAGTGTTTACGGTATGATAATGAACACGTTCTTCCTAGTGGAACAAGGATGCAAACAACCGCCACACGTAAATAGAATAAGAAAGATGGTCAGTTTTGAGCTCCGTAAAGAAATAGAAATATCTCAAAAAATTATATTTACAAAACATGATGCTATCTACATTGCTGATCCTAGCAGTATGCAGGACACACGTCATATATGAAGTTTGTAATGGCCTTGCTCACCATAGAGTCTCAGTGGCTCGGTGGTAGAGCATCAGAGCTCAGAATCCAAAGGTTTGAGTTTCAATTCCTCAAGGGGTCTCAAAATTTTTTCTTTGTGCCATGCTTATAACAAAACAAAAGAACATCTTTCTCTAACACCAGATGTTTCTTACCTTTGAAATTAATATAAACCATATCAATGGCTTGTAGACCAAAAGCCTTTGCATGAACAACTACACTCTGACGAGCATGAATCAATTCCTTTGCATCTTTTGTGCGAGTAGCTCCTGAAATAGATTCCATGCCAATTATGTCAAACGTTGGGAAGCATTTTAAATCAAATGTAGATATCTTTTCCCTAGAGGGATTTTGTCTTCTTAATAAATTTTTCAACTTTCTCCCTAGATTATTCACAATGTATTTGTGCTTTTCACAATGATAGATAGGCATACCAGAACCTATTATTGTGATGGTGGAGAAGGTGACAATGGTACAAAGTAAAAAAAATTAATTATTGTAACCCTCCAACACCTGGGATCCAATTTTCAATTCTCCCTCTAGCTGTTAGACAATTCCTTGTAAATTGGTTACCAGAATTTGGAGTTAGATCAAGACAACAACTTATACCATATAAGTTTGAGTATTCTCTTTACCTGTCTGCTGAACAATGTATGGATATTATTATAGGGAGAAGGTACATGTTAATCAATTCAATGAGAAGATAATCCAGAAAGGAAGAAGGGAAAAAAATTACCCAGAAGTGAGCCCTAAATCTTTAACTACAACAAATGAATATTTAGATGGCTGGGGACTAAAAAACGTGATGGGTTGTAGCCCTTAACATTATCATTTGGACCTCTTAAAAAACAAAACTTCACAGAAGTTTCAACCAATGAAAAGGGTAAAATAGTGGTGCATGGGTACCTAAGGTTCTGGAATCACTACAGACTCCTACTTTTAATCATAAAAATTACAATTCCTTGACTTTGATTGATTTAAAAAAACTCCTATTTTCTACTAATTCACTTGCCAAGTTGTTATCGGACAGTTTGTTATCAGATAGTTCAATAAGCCAATCATATTCAAAGTTGTAGTTTAAATAACCAATCCCATTCAAAGTTGTAGTTTAAATCAACCAATCTCATTCAAAGTGGTAGTATCAACCAATCACAATCTTGGTTTCAATCACCATAGAAATGCCTCCTTTGTCCATCTTCTAATGCAAATTTTCCCTTTCTTTCATAACTTGGCTATTCTTGTTTTCTTGGAAATTGTACTTTTTATGATTAATTAGTAATAAGACTTTGTGTTGTCCAATTCAGTCTGTAATCATACTTGAGATAAACAAATACAGTTTTGATATCACTCATATGATTACACACAAAATTGAACTCCACTCAGTCCTAGTACCATAAATAATGAAAGGTAACCACTAGTAGCAGACTCGCTGGCTTCTGTTCTGCCTGCTGTTCATTTTTTGAATTTTAGCTCAAAGAATTCTTTAGTTATTAAATATCTCATAGTTGATATTTCCCTTTCTGTTGGTCATCTCTCTGCATGAATGTTGATTGGCAAAGTGAGGAGTAATTCTATTTTTGTTATTCCTCCCTGTGAAAGGGCTAACCCACCTATACTGACAAGAAAGTCATCTGATCCAAATACTAAAGCCTCAAATCTGAATGGTCTGTCAGTTGATGTGCCATGTTCACAGACAGCACGGAGATTAAGGAGACTAAGAGCACTTTCAACTTGGGTGATAAGCCCCAGCTTTTTGTCTGCGCTTGGCTTCATTATGGAGGACACTTTATCACTTAACTGAAAGTTGAAAAAAAAAAATTCAAAGATACAATTCTTGATATTAAATAAACCTGACAAAAACTTATGAAGCATATTAATTAGGTGTTTGTGAGGCTGAACCAACCATCAACAAAGGTCAACCAAGCTGAAGGTAACTATAAATGTAATGAAAAAAATTCATCCCAAGTAAACAGATACAAGCTGTCTCATTCATGGGGAAAGAATGATCAAGTCAATAGTGATTTTGGATTTTTATCCAGCGAGTGGCTAAAAGAGTTTGGTCAGTTTTCTTGATCAAACACAGGTACACCTACTTGAGTTCTTTAGAATACTACAGCAGTGTTCTCCTTTTCAAGCGGTAATCAGTACAATTCACTGCCAATAGTACCTGTGCCTCTTATTACTATCTAAAAACCACTTGAAATTCAGTAAAACCATAAAAGGACTGCTCAACAGGTTTCAAAATGGCATGTTTAAAATAATGGTCTGAAAAACTGCAACTGTCAAGTATTATACATGGTTATGGTTATGGCGCTTATCATATATCATGAACTGGAAAATTCTTCCTCTACAACACATAATTTACTTGCTGAATTTCAATGGCCTAGGCAATTTTTATTCAGGCATAAAGGGCATTTTCTTGGAAGTAGACACTATTCTCTTGCATAACTTAGCTAAAACTCTGATATCAAAATGTTCTTCAGGAATAAATTCTAAAATTACCCAATCTAAATGCTCTACAGTCTCTACTTTGGGTACCACAATAGAGTCAGGCAGTTCCTTTGCTGTCAAAGCTGCTTTCAAATCATCTTCTGCTAAACCAGTCTCAATGGAATTAATACGAACACACACTTCGCTGGAACCAAATTTCAGTTGACCAAGTATGTTGTGGATAGTATTCCTTGCTTCTTCCTGTGATAAATGATAAATTTATGAAACTGCCTACTTTGCTGCTTTGTGGCTTGGCAAATATCTACCACTATTCACCTCCACCTTGGTGAATAATTGAAAAATTGAGGAAAATAATCATCTTGTTTAAATATTTGAAGATCATCCCAATTTACAGTTTATTCAATCAGCATAAACAAGATGTATACAACATTTCCCAAATGAAAAAAAAAAACCAGTAGATTTATAATATTCAGCGAGTGAGAGGGGAAAGGGAGGCCACTTTGACCAATAGTCTTTGTTGTGATGGCACTCAACCACGTGTAAGAATGCAATATTCACCAGAGGGACATCCCTGATCTTCAAGAGAATTTTCTTTTATTCAGTATGTAACTCCTATGATTGGCAAAGAGTTCATTTTAAAATAGAAAATTCATTTTATTCAAACCTAAGCTTCATTGACACTTTCTCCCCTTACTCCCCTTACTCCCACCCCCTTGTTGAAAGAGGGTTTTCCATCCTTCTCTGAAGACAGAGATTGTTGGGAGTGAAACTAGCACTCAAATTTGAAAATGCAACTGTTCTATTCACGTGAAGTTCAATACTTAATGATCATCCCTACCATTTAATTCCCCGAGTATCTTGTAAACCTTAAGCCTTTTTCGCTTCCTTTTAACCAATTGTACCTTCTTGTTGGACGCTACTCCATCCTCACAGTCCAACACCACACAATCAGAGTTCAAACCAGTCGCTTTTGATACTTTTCGTTCCTCGTTTCCTGGGATGTAAAGAAACGATCTTCTTGGAATCTGACCTTTCACACTACTCAGCTTTCTTGATAAAAGTAAATTCCTGAGGTGGTTGTTTTTTAAAATAATTTTGCACGATTTCCCTCTTCCAAACATCTTTGTCGTGTGGACTAGTTACCAGCTCTCCTCTCATTTTGCTTTCTACTCGAAGCAGAATATTTGGGAGGGGAAAGGTAAAGGTTAGGGGTGTGGTATCCAGATTTTGTCGAGCATCGACCTGTCAGAATCTCTAGTTAGATTCCAGATTCCTAACGAAGGAGAGTACTCATGGAAACATACACAGCAACAAATGTCTCTGTTGAGGACCTCAAGAACTGCTTTCCCTTACTCACGCAAAGGGGAACTTTCTGCAGTGTGCTACAATATATCCTTCTAACAAAGTTGTTCTCTAATTTATAATGGAAATGGTACGCGGCTAAGCTCGTACTTCCAGCCGATCTGCCACAAGATCTTACCCAGCATGCAAGGGGAGGAGAATGTTGGAACGCAACATCCTCTACCAGTGTTAGCTGCTCATCTTTACATAATTTTTTACTCATTTCATTAATTCTCTAATAGACAACTACTAAAGATTTAGTGGCCCTGAACTTAGGAGACTTTGAAAAACTGGATCTTGAGAGTTCAAGAATAAACCCTTTACACCCTAATATTGTATGCATATTCTCCAAACTATTCTCTATACATTTTCTAAGATGCTGCAAGGAGAATTTGTTTAACAAACAAGAGCTACTTTAGTTGTAGATCAATTCATTTATTCTCGTGACCTTAATGTTTGATTCAGAGGTGATATTGTAAGGAGATGTTGAATTCCAGTCACTCTAGGGGGTTAAATGGTTAACAGACAAAACTCTCAGTAGAGGGTGGGAGAAAACGATGAAAAGAGGGTCGGAAAAGGACTTGGATAATTCAGAAGGTAACAGGCCATCACTCGGTCCAGAAATCCTTTTATTCACTCTTCCATGAAAAATCGGACACAAAAAAGGCCCGGTGCACAAAACAACACAGTCTGAATAGAATTACGCGGGAACAAAGAAAAACAGAGTGCAACAACAACGCAGAACAACCAATGTCGCAGCAAGAGTCTAAAAGACTTGGTTCCGTAGCTAGAAGTTTCCTTTCAGGAATTGCTTTCGTAAACTTTCATGGGAATTCGCATTGTTTTGAGTCGGTTTCCCACGACATGATGCTCTTTTAAAGAAGTAGCCAATTTCTACGGATAAACGTCAAAAGACCTTTCTTCCTTTGTACAAAATTCATACGCATAAATATCGATAGAGATATATACAAAATGTTGCGTTAGTTCAAAGTCCCCCGGCATTGTGGAGAACCACACAAACATGGGATTTTCTCGTCCTCGATGGGGAATTTGTAGTCGTAAGTGATTTCTTCATTGACTTCGATATCTCTCTTGGAATAAATGACTATTTTCTTGGCATTCTCTAAAGTGACTATCTTGGCGTAGCAGTTGGGCTGTGGAAAACGAAAGAAAAATAATTTAACATGATATAATAGTTATGTATGTAAAGTGGCCTCCGTAAAAAGTTTCTAGCGCGGACGTTTCGAGCGTTAGCCCTTTGTGAGAGGGAATGAAAAATAAGATCGAAACACACACCGCATAGAACCGCCTGCATCAAAATTGAAGAGCAACCAAGGTCAGGGGCTGGCCCAGGTAGAGCCCAGACCACCCACACTCTTCCCTCCAATCCCCCACTGAAGGTACAAACATTGACAAAAACAATAAACATAAGCAATATTACATAGCAGCACTCTAAGGTTAAAAAAAAGCATTTAAAACGTAAGCTTTTTTTAAGCCTTAAAAAAGCTTACATTTTCAACACTCTATTTAGTTCAGTAAGCTTTTGTGCTGGAGGAACCCTTTGTATTTGAACCTGTGTTGCTTTGTGTAGTGAAAAATCATACTGGATGGAGTGATAGTATTCTCTCCTCATAGTAGTTCAGTAAAGTCAGTTGACTAGTAGGGCGCACTTCCATTGAGTGTCGCAGAATCAAAACCAAAACTCAAAACAACGGCCAATTAGAACGAAGCAAAATATAACGTGGCGCTATTATAAACGTAAAGTAAAAACAGGCATAGTGACTGGGACTTGGGTAAACGCGAAAAGCGTAATCGCGTTTTGTTTCAGTCTTGCATCTGATCGGTTACAAAAGCAAAACTTTTTCTTAGACTTAGATCAAAGAGAAAAGTAAAAAGAAACCATTATCCTCCAAGATTGCCTTCGATAATCAATTCAAAATTGCTCTCGGCTGATTTCTCCTCAAAGAGCACTTTTCGATTGAGTGTCATAAAACCAAAACCAAAGTAATCACAACGGCCAATCAGAAGAAAGGAAAATAACTGAAAGAGCCAATGAGAACTCAAAGTAAAAACAACCAAACCGCCTAAAGCGCGGGAAAACGCGGGCGACCAAATCGTGATTGGTATTAGTTTTGCATCTGATTGGTTGAAAGCGAGGCGCGATTTTTTTGTAACCAATCACAGGAGAGAAGTTAAGCAAAACCAATGCATTCTCGGATTACTCGCGACGCTCAATTGAAAACCGTTCTAATAAGCTACCTGGGAACTAATAGCGACAGAAAAAGATGATACTTACATCACAGCAGTGATTAATAAATCGTGCAAAGTTTCCTTTAGTGGTAGCATCAATTATCGTTTCCTGATCAACACGAAACAGGTAACTTGATCCGATTCCCATCTCCTCGTATCTCCGCTCACGGATATCCGCAATGGGCTGCCTGATGATCTCGCCGACATATTCTGTCACCATCTCATCCGCTGCAATGTTCTCCATGGCGAAAAGACCCCAGTCGTGGATACCCGACTTAGCGAATCGAAGTTGCTTTTTACGCACCTGGCGACAAATGGAAAGGATATGAAGAGAACTCTTTTGAGCAGTTTTCGATTAGTTGACGTAAAACTAAAACCAGTGTAATCAAAACAGCAAATCAGAGAAAAGGAAAATATCAAGAGGAGCCAACGAGAACGCAAATGTAAAACAAGTTAACTGCTTGACGCACGGAAAAACGCCGGTGACCAAGTCGTCATTTGTTGTAAATTTGAATCTGAGTAGTTGAGAGGACGGAAAGAGTCTCCAGAACCAATCATAAAACGAAGCAAAGCAAAAACCAAGCAATCCATATTCATTTGATACTCAGTTGAAAATCACCCCACACTAAAGAATCCAGCATGAACCATTTACACGCTGACACCAGTATCCTGTACTCTGTACTGTGCTCTACACATTAAGAATTTGTTTGACGATAAAGTTTCTGAAGTCGGCGATGCTCCGTAAGGAGAAGTAAGATTTTGAGCACTGAAAGAGGTAACAGGCTAAAATTTTATATCTTTTTTTTTCCGAGGTTTGAATCCAAAGGAAAGCTATCAGAGAAAAACTGCAGCGACTAATTTTAAGGTGTTGAAAAATACAAGGCTACTTGCAATAAAAAAAAACTACATGTTAAGGAGTTTCCAATTTTTAAGTTTTCACTAAGTCATCGCAATAGGGGCCGTTTTTTGAGCGTTCAGTAAAATTAATAGGAGATGCATGGTTCAGAAACCACATGCTTGAAGTGTTAGTTACGTATTTCTTACCATGAGCTGATTAAACTTGAGCAAGTCACCAAATTCCTCATTACACACCGCTGACTGTAATCTTCTTTGTATCGCTCTGTGTTCACGTGACTGTTGTTTAGCCTTGTTGCCGTCTGTTTTCTGAGGATAACGGCAAAAAAAAAAGTTTATCACTAAAGCGTTCCTTAGACGATGCGATTCACTATTTTGGATGATGGCATGTATAGAAGCTAAAGGAACAGACGTCAAAACAAACAAGAAGCACGTTGGCACCACAACCGTATAAATGTCAGCTTTTCATTACGCAGCTCGAGGCTTCTCGTTTAAGTGTTGGGAAACAATAACCAAAGCAATGACGACGACAAATCATAACAAAGGTAAATGATCCAGTGAGCAAACACACGTGAACAGTATTATGCGCGAGAAAACGTGCACTACAGTGGCCGAGCGATCGTAACATGACTCTAGTAGGAAGACATCGGGAAATTTGTTAAAACATTGTCTATATCCTTCAACCCCCAGAAGTGATTCACATGCAACTTCTATACATTATACAGCAAACAGGTAATGAGAATACGAAAACTTATCAGGTAAAAGTTGTAAGCTTATTCTAACACCAAATTCTCGTAACTAATCAAGAAAATGTGCAGCAGCTAAAGGGGAGAATCAACAATCAGATCTTAGGAGTGAAAGGGTTTAACTATAGCCCGACGAATGAGAGTCAATGATTAAAGGGGGTAAGTAAGTTTCTAAAGAAACTGTGGCGCTGCGTCGGTGGGAGAGTATGACCTGGTAATTTGGTATTATCAACTGAGTTGATAACGTAAATTAGCCACTGTAAACAGTTTAAAAGCTGACGTTTCGAGTGTTAGCTCTTCATCGGAGGGGTGAAGGAATTATAGGTTGTGTGTCTGTGTTTGTACGCAGAAAATGGAGCTACGCTATTGGCGGGAACATGGTAAAGGGAAAAACAAGAATGAATTAGTTGAATTAAAAGCGCTCTTTAACACCGCGGGCTAAAAGTAACGAGAGAGTAGGAGTACCTGTTCCTCAACCGTAACGTTGGCCTGACACTGTAGCTGTCTTCTCTGAGCTTGTAGATATTTAGCCTTTTCTTTGATGTCAATCTTGTAAAAGCCTTCCGCTCGGGCACATCCAGTCACATGTACACGTACACCGTGTTCTGTTTTCAGTTTTCGACGTCCTTTTGTTACACTTTGAGCGGTCGGTGAGGTTGGTTAAAGAAAATGCCAGTACTCTTACAGAGCACTTTTCTAACAAGCGGCTTAAAATCAACACAAACTTGAACAAAACGACTATTCAGCTCAAAAAGGAACAAAAGAAGCAGCTAATACGAGCTCAGAGTTAACACATGAAGACGGCCCAGAGCGCAAAAAAAGTGTCAAGTTGTCTCACACGAGTTACAAAAAACCAAACAGGCCAGTGAGACACCGTGTTTTAGAGGCGTAGAACATTTTTGGTAAAGCCCAAAACAAAATGGCAAATA